CCAGTAACTTAAAATCAAAGTTGCTGAAAAGTAATCTGCACTCAGTCTACCTCCTTAGCCCTCATTTATGCCCTGCCTTTTGTGATCCATTCTGGAAACCCTAGTCTCATTGATAAATTGAGATCAATATTGACCACTTACAGTAAGAACCAACTCTCCCACAGTCTTCAGAACTCCTCTTCTTGTAACCCTGTCTTTGGCTTCCGTAACACTTTGTTCTCTGGATTGTTCTAACTTGATTTCTCTATGCCTTCAGTTAGTACTTTTCTCCTTCTCTTTAAATGCAGGCTTTCTTGAGGTTCCAACTGTAGTCCTCTTCTACTAACTTCAATTTTACCAACCAGTATTATAGCCAGTATTAGACATTTAAGGAACATGATAGGATGGGAAGACAACCTCATACAACTATAAAATTGACCTGGGGTTGGGGATTTAGCTCTGTGGCATAAGCGCCTGCTTGGCAAGTGCAAGGTTGTGAGTTTGATCCCCAGTACAAAAAAAAAAAAAAAAAAAAAATTGACCTGAAGTCCACATCTGGCCAGCTGGCAAATCATGGAAAAGCTGTTAAATCTTTGTGTTTCATTTCTTTATTGGAAATGAGCATGGCATCAATCTCACAGGGGTGTTTTTAGTTCCCCAAATGCACGACAGGCTCTTGTCTCCCTATCTTTTTTTCTTGTAGTATCTAGGCCAGAACATTCTTGTTCTGCTCATCCTTCACCTAGCTAAATCTTTCCACATGGTCTCCCTTTAGATGTTCCCTTTACCAGAAAGCTTCCCATGACCCCGATAACTGGGTGAGGGTTGTCCTTTCCATTGTCCCACAAGCCTGTACTGAACAATTCTTTCTTTAGCTCTGTCCCTTCGAATTGCTTTTGCTGATCATTTGCCTGTGTCCCTCCTAAAAGGCCAGGTCCTCCTTGTGTTCAGTGTTGCATCCTCCAGGAGGCCTCCAAAGCTGGCAGCTTCCCTTCCCTACCATGCCACTGTTACACTTTCCTGACAGTGACTCCAAAATGACTCTCTCCATAGCCTCTTTCCTTGAGCTATATCTTCAGAACTTTCTCCCTAGATATCCAGCTAGAAGAACATAAGTGTATCTTTGGCCTCTGCTCAAACCTGCAAGCTCTTACTATTCTTCTGTGTTGCCAACCTATGAGATTTTAATTTTTTTTTTTTTTTTTGTATTTTTACCGGTACCAGGGATCGAACTCACGACCACACGCTTGCAAGGCAGGCGCTTATGCTGCTGAGCTAAATCCCCAGCCCCTAGCCTCTGAGATTTTAAGTCTGTAAGTTCCCATGGAATTCTCATTGTCAAAAAATGACAACTACTAAGTTTACCTACATGGTTTCCCCTTTCTCTTTCTATTGCCACCTTCCTGCTTAGCCTCCACTACTCTGAACAACTGCAATGCGCCTTTGATCAATCTGATTATCTCTCTTCCTCACTAAGAAAATTTCAGTGACTCCCTATTGCTTACAGAGCACAGGAGAAAAAAGGAGAAGTGAGCTCTTGTTGAGTGCCTACTTCCTGCCAGTGGAAAGAGTATTTCACATTGTCACATTTAAATACAGAATTCACTTTTTATCTGATCCTCAAGTTCCTGGTCCCATGGTTCCAGCCTTCTTTCCACCTCTCCACCATGCAATCCCTTCATTCCAGTTAAGCTCCTTGTGTCCTGGACACACCCTGGACTTCCTTTACCCTCTGATCCTACTGTTACCTCTACCCTCACTTTCAGCACTCAGATTCTGTCCAGTGCTCAAGACTTCAGTCAAATGCCACCTGAGCCATAAACCCTGTCTGATTTTCACAGCTGAAACCTGTCTGCTCTCATATACTTGTGAAAATTTTTGTCTTTATTCTTCCTCTTATTAATTATGTAGGTTTGTTCTCTATTTTCTGCCACTAGATTGTGAGCTTCACAAAGATAGATACACATTATTACATTATTCACTGTGCTTCATCACTGATGCTAGCACATCACTGATGTAAACATTGGTGACATTAAATATAAGCTTGAATTTGACTCTACATATATATGACCTAAAGCCAGATAAAGTGGCTTATATCTGTAGTCCAGGTACTTAGGAGACTGATAGCTTGAGCCCAGAAGTTTGAGATCAGCATGGGCATCACAGAGACACCCTATCTAAAACAAATGAAAGGTGACATACATGTGACCTGTAACAATCTTTTTCAAACCAAGTCTCAATCCATGATTGGATTATAAAAGTAACCATCTGGGTTGCAATTATAATTTTAAAAGCATATAATAGAAAAGATTAGAAATGTCACAAGTATAAAGCAGGTATTGTTTGTGAAATTGTATTTTAATACTTATGTGTGGTCCAAGTTGATTAAAATACATTTCTTACTCTATCCACCAAAAAAGTAGAAAAATGCATCATTTCAGTCAACTAATTGCAGTTCCTTGCTGAGAAAAAGAATGCTTGGCAAATCATCTGTCTCCCGTCAATGAAACTCAGTCTCCACTTTTGGTCTCATTCCTCCAACAGGCTGCTCTCTGCACTGGATGAGAGACACTAGGCAAAAAATGTCCTGCCTTTAAATGAGCTTCTCTTCTACTGAGAGAAAATAAATTTATGAGGAAACTATACAAATATTTAAGAAAGCAACTGGGGAGATGCAGCGTAAGACTTGGATTTAGTCAAAAGCCCACTCACTCCATTTATTAGCTGCACAACGTTGGATAGCTTAATTTCTAGGGCCTTCAGTTTGCCCCCCTACTTACCATACATAAGTGTGTTAAAGCTGAGTAATAAGTCGGCCAGGCATGGTGATGCATTCCTTAAACCTACCTACTCAGGAGGCTAAGACAAGAAGTTGGAGGCCAGCCCAGGCAACACAGTGGGACTCTGCCTCAAAATAAAACCTGAAGCCAGATGTGCTGGTGCATGCCTGTAATCCTAGCATTTGGGAGGCTGAGGCAGGACGATTACTATGAGTTTGAGGGCAGCTTGAGCTATATAGTGAGTTCCAGACCAGCCTGCACTATATAGCAAGAGCCTGTGTCAAATACATGAGTGAATGAATGAGTGAACTTGGAACACAGCTCAGCAGTGTACCATTTACCCAGCAAGTGTGAGGCACTGGGTTCAATCACCAATGTCACAAAGGGGCAGGGGACCTTTGTATACTAAGCAACAAGTGGAAACTGACATAGTACATTTTTTTTTTAGACAAAGTATTATGTATTCCACTGGCCTTGAACTCACTATGTAGTCCAGGTTTGCCTCATTCTCATGGAGATCCATCTCCCTCAGCCTTCTGAGGATGTGGTACATACTTTATAGATAAAGGCTTAACAGGAACAACTTTTGTTTTGTGTTTTGACAGTCAGTGATAGAAGCCCAGTTGAAACTGGTTGTGCTCAAGTTAACTGAATCACTCACCTGACTGGGAAACCTAATGATACAGGTTGCTTAGGGCAGGACTGAATCTGGGAATCCAAATGATGTTGTCACGCCACTCTCCACCTTTCGTCTTCTGACTCTCAGCCTTTGGACTCTGCTTTGGAACCAGCATGATTTTATTGTCAGGCAGGTCTCTGCACAATGGACACAACCACCTTCTTACTCTATTTTGCCTTGATCACTGCAGATACCAAGTGAAAAATGTCTCCTTTCCTATGGTTCCAGCAAAAATGCAGGGAGTGGTCTGACACCTCAGCTGGGTCATATGCTTATTTCACTCCTTTAGTAAAAACAGTATTTACTGAGGATCTGCTAGTACCAAGCACTGTGCCAGCCACTGGCAACTAGCAATGACCAACACATACAATGTTCCTGCCCACAGAAAACTCAGATTTTGTGGCAGAGACAGACAATACACAAGTTCATAAGTATGTGTTAGTGAGTGATAAATTCCATTTTAAAAATAAAATTTAAAAGCAGATCAAGGAGTCTCAAGAACTAGAGGTAGAGATAAGACACTTCTGAGGAATGGTTAGGGAAGAGCTCGCTCAGTGACTCTGAAGCACACCTATGGCTGAGGAGCCAGAACAAACTGCATGACCATCTCTGCGAAAGGACTCAGAAGGAACAGTGTGGGCAAAGATTCCAGGACAGGGCCAATAACTCTAGCCTCAGCAACATATCTGCATTTATTAACATGTACATTTGTCCTTGATGTGAAAATGTTAACATATTTTCCTACAAGGAAGCAACAATTTTGCTGACAGTGATAGCAAACTACAAAATCGTTGAGGTCATTGAAGGCTAGGAATATAGCTCAATGGCAAAGAATGTGCACACACATGGTTCTGGGTTCAGTCCTGTGCACCAAAAAGCAAAAAACAAAATGAAAAATCTTGAGGTCTAATACTGATTGATTGACCAGCTGGGTAAGACACTTAGGATCTTTCTGAATGTGCTAAGGCCCCCAGATTCTGAGAACCTCAAAGCAGGGGCTTCCTTGCTCCTGTAGGAACCAAATGGAGGAGCAGCTCTGTACACGGCCCTAGCAGAGAGATGGGTGAAGCTCCCGTAGTGGACTCCGATGGCAGGGCTCCCCGCTGACCTTGCAAAAGCTGGCTGAGGAGAGGTCCCTCAAAGACTTTCCTTAACTTTGTCCTTTTACTCTAATTGCTGTGGACGTGCCGGGCAGCACAAAGCAGCTCCCAAGGGTGGTTCCTGCTGATCCTGGGTAAAGGTCCCCTTATTTGGAGCCAAGGACTAACACAAAGTAAAAATTCCCTGCTCTCAAGCCTTAACAAAAGCCATATTGCCTGGAAGAGAAAAACTTGGAGTGGGGCATCTGTGGATGGTGAGTGGTGGGAGAAATCAGAAGGCAAGAGACCCACCCTCCTCAACAGATTGGTGACAGTGTCCCTGAACTTGGAACTCCTATAACCAGTCTCTATTAGCCACTGTCCTTTACCCACTGATGCTCTTATCCTTGAAATGACTGTGCAAATGTTTGATGCTAATTCTTCACTATCTACAGTAGTTCTAGATTGATCTTCCTTTTTTTAAAAAATATAGAACATTTCACGAATTTGCATGTCATCCTCACACAGAGGCCATGCTAATTTTGTCTGTATCATTCCAGTTTTAGTATACATGCTGCCAAAGCAAGCTCTGGTCTCCCTTTCTTACTGTTACAGGACTATCTTTCACTTATCTAATTTTCATAAATTCTGCGTCTGTTCACCAACAGTATTTCTTAATTTAGTTCAGCGACTGCCTTAATTGTCCATTGCACACAGGGATTAACAATGCCTTTCTAAAGAAGATTATGAATGCATTTACTGCAATCTAGGTTACTTCTTGAACTTTTGGAATACAGTTTTCTAGAGGTGCTTACCTCCTCTTCTATAAGCTTCTCTAACAAATTGGTTTCAGATGCACTTTCAATTCACTCCTTTTTCCTCCCTGAAGCATGATCCTTGGCATGAAATGTGAGGAACCAACACTAGGCATCACCTTTTACAGAGTTTTCTTCTGATAAATCTCTTTACTTCATCTTTCCCATGATTGGTGACTACTTCTCCTCCTCCTCCACCTCCTCCTCCTCCTCTTTCTTTCTCTCTCTCCCTCTCTCTCTAAGCCCAGGCTGGCTTTGAATTTAAAGCACTTTTCCTGCCTCAGCCTCCCAAGAGCTGGGATTACAGGCATGTTCCACCATGCTCAGATTTTCCCATGATCTCTTATTTGTAGGCCTTCACAGAGCCATTCTCCTAAACCAGTGGCCTCATTTACATTCCCATTCTCTTCTTTCCAGGAGAAAGGTTTTGAAGGAGAAACTAAGATGCTTAGAATACCAGAGATGGTGAAAAATCATGTGGTGAGCTCCAGAAGCCTAAGAAGACAGGGAGAAATGGGAGAAATGAATTTTGGGTAAATAGCAGAGTGGCAAGCAAAAACTCAGCCTCTCCAAGATTCAGAAGTCAGACATTGAAAATAACAACTTGGGGAAGAAAAGGAGTGAGGTGGATCCCCAGGAGCCAGGAAGGATCTGGCAGAAACGCTGGACTTACAGAGAAACTTTGAAAGGCAGAACACAATGCAGAACAATGAAGGCGCATTCTGCACTTTCTTCCTAGCTCTTGGCTCCTAAATAAGGAAAACCAAATCCTCAGAGACAAAGTGAACGAGGGGTACTCCATAGAGTCTTCCGAGAGAAATTCAGCAATGCACAGGACTGGGACTGGTGGGTACTCTCTGCTGCAACAGCCAACCTCCTGCCATTTCCCCTGGAGAGAGCGGTTGGATGCCATTCCAGGGCTCCATTCAGCCCGGGACTCAGCAGCTGAGTGTTGGCTTGTTTTCAAGGCTTCCACAGTGACTTGTGGAGGGACAGCCATGGGAGACAACCATGGCCAGGGAACTGTGGTCAGGCCAGCAAGAGACCTCCAGAGAGGATTAAGCTAGAGGGTTCAGGCCCCACCCCCCACCCCCATGGCCAGAGGCCAGGCTCAGCCTGTATCACTGTGATTTGAAAGTCACCCTTGTGCTGATCCTGCCTCCTGCTAGTGATTGCATCCGCATGGATCCGGGATCTGACAGCCTTCTTTAATGTCTCAAACTGGACACTACCCCAAAATTGTAGATCCTGGAAGAAAACCACACTTTCAGAATTACAAAGAAGTCAGGAATGGTGACTCAGGTCTGTAATTCTAGCTGAGACCAAAGATAGCCACAAGCTCAAGGCCAGTCTGGGACACATAGTGAAACCCTGTCTCCAAAACCAAAACAAAACTCAAAAAGAAATTTCTTTTTGTTGGGGGGGGGGTGTTTTTGTGACTGTGCACATTTTTTTTTCATTTTTTTACATTTTGTTTTGCTTTCTTTTGTTTTTAATCTTCTTTCCTTCCTTCCTTTCTTCTTCACCAGTTTCCTGGGGTTTGGCAAACCTTCATCCTTCTGCCTTGCTTCTTATCTCTTTTTCTTTTTTTTTCCCTCTCTTTCCTTTAAAATTTTCTCTCTTTGATTACTTCTCTCTTATTTTTACTGTTTCTCCTTCATTTCTCCCTCTTTTTCTTTCACCTTTTATTTCTCACCAGTTTTTTTTTTCTCTTACCTTTACCTAATTCTCTAAATACCCCTCGACTCCCCAGTGAGATCCTTTGTACCACTTCTTTTTCCTCCTTTTCATACCATAGATCTCAAGGTTGCAAAGCTTTCCTCTTGCATTTCCAAATCCAGTATCTCTAATACTCTAACCACAAAGCTTTGTTAACCTTTTGATACTTAGCTCTTTAAAAATGCTGTTGAGGCTGAGCATAGAGGTGCATGCCTATAATCCTAGCACTTGGGAGGCTCAGGTAGAAGGATTGGTATTAGTGAAGATATAACATATGCATTTAGGACCTACTAGCTGTAAGTTAATACCTGGACTGTCTTCATGTTTACACCATAATTGCAAATTTCTGATTTAGGATTAAGGGTGGCATATAGGTGGTTATTATAGTATGTTAATATATAATTTATCTTGGATTATACTAGTAAAACTGATTCACTTAATTTTAACAGGGTTACATAATTTTCACTATTTCTCTGTAAACCAACACTCAGATTACCTTTGTGACACTGGCAATACTAGAGTATATCCCCAGAGAATTCAGTTACTGGGCTAACTGCACTGCACTCTCCCTCCACAAGTTACCCAAATTGGTCAGATTTTGGGGCGATGGCAAAGGATTATAGTTAGTCACACCCAAAATACATCACTAAAAAGCAACTAAAGAGATATCTACCCTAGCAACAAAATCATTAGATTATAAGCACCCACAAACCTCAGCACAAAATGAAACAAAGAAAGACAATAGAAATGTGAAGACAAGACAGCCAGATGTCTACCCAAAGTCCTAACATCCCAAAGCCAATCCCTGGAACACCAAGAGGTGGACAGCATAAGCCACACACATGAATTACTGGAAAGGATAACACAAGAGAAAAACACCCAAAGAAGTACTCAGCAGGGTTAAAGAATATACAACTGAACAGATAAAAGAAGCAGTAATCAAAAAAATGCAGGTGCTTTCAGAAGACACCAATAAAAAGCTAGATGAGCTAAACAGGGTGATAGGACCAGTTTACCAAAGATGTAAAGGCCTTGAAAAGGTTTTAAACAGAAATCCAGGAGATTAAAAATCATACTGAAAGTATGACTCACAGTACCAACAGTTGTGAGGCAGAATTTCAGAATTAGAAAACAATTATGCCTTTAAAAACCAGTGACTCAAAGACACTTTAAAAACAAAAGAACACTATGAATGAACCCAACAACTGCTAGAGGATGCAAAGAAGACTAAACTAAGAATAACTGGAATAAGTGAAAAATCAAAAGACAATACAACATGATATAAAAAATTGTTCACAGAAATAGTGGCAGAAAAAATGAGGCATACAGAACCAACCCCAAGTTGTCATGAACAAAACAAAACCTGTCTATGCCAAATTACACTCAGAGTACCAGAAGTCTATCATCATGGGAACAAAACTCTTTTTTTTAATTTAATTTAAAAAAAAAGGATACAGAAGAAAAACAAAAAGCAAAAGCGACAAACAACAAAAACAAACCAGAAACAATAACAGTATAGGCACCTAGGACGAGAGGTGTGCAACCCTTTAAAACTGGAAGCCTGACTTATCAAGTCCCTTTTTCCCCTTTGCCCTTCTGCTTGTTCCTGCTGCTACCATCCCATGGTCTTCAATAAATGTGGCTACTTACTACATACTGTTACATACTATGAAGTATTTCTTTCCTTGTTGTATAGAAGAACCTGGACTATTTTCAGCTCACTCAACTGTAACAAAATCAGTGTTACAAAAAAATTCTCAATGTTATCCTGAGAGAGACAATGAAGCCAACAATGCCAGAGAGTCAAAAAGAATGCACATGGTTTGCCGAGCTACTAAGCAAAAGGAAGAAAAGTAAGGAAATCAACAAAAGGAAAATAATGTCAACAAGTCAGCACCTCTCAGTGATAACTCTCAATGTTAATATTCTCAATTTTCTAGTCAAAAGACACAGATTGGCAGAAAGGATCAAGAAACAAAACCCAGGGCCAAGGGTTTAGCTCAGTGGCATATGTACCTGCTTGGCAAGTGCAAGACTGAGTTCAATTCCAGGTACCAAAAACAAAAGAAAAGAAACCCAACAACATGCAGTATATAAGAAACACACTTGGAGCTTCCAGGAAGATGGCAGAACATAAGCAACAGAATAAACAGCCTCTCTGAAACAGTCCAGATGCTGGAATATAGCATCTTAGGGAAGACAAGAAGGAAGGAAATGGATCCCCTGGACCCCGGGAGAGACTAAAGTGAGAACTGAAGCTCACTGAGAGAGTAAAAATGAAAAACTTAAACAAAGAAGAAGGTGATGGCTGGCAGCACCTTCATCCAGAGCCAGACCCACTGTGCAATAGGAGCTGTTGGAACCTGGGGACACATGGTCATGGTGGCTGTGGTGGCAGGTGACCCCAGAGGCCTCTGCAAAGAGACTGGCAGTGGAGTGAAGTGATGGACACAGAGGATTGCACTGGCTGGTGGTAAGTACAGGGGACTCAGTCCTCCCATGGAGTGATCAGTTGGCCAGGAGCCATTTTGGAGTTGGGCTGGATAAGCCCAGAACCAGAACTGTGGCTGGCTCCCTCAGCAGCTCCTAGCTGGGAGCAGACGGTAGAAACTGCTTGGACTGAACCCACCCCCACGTACATTCTAGCAGCCATCGCCAACGTTCCCCGCCAGTAACCAGATCAGTCTGGAGGCAGCAGCTGGCCCTGCCACACACACACTCCAGCAGCCATTGGGGAGCCAATGCAGGCTGGGAAAAGCAACAGATAGCCCTGCATCAGGGCACCCAATGGCCACCATCAGATACCCATAGTTAGCACAGGCCAGGAGAAGCAAACAGTCTCGCTTAAGAGAAATTGTAGCCATTGCAGGAAGTGTCTGGGACTCCACTACCCTCTTGTCCGGAAGAACCCAGGAATATATCAAGACAAAGAAGCAAAAGGCAGATTCTGGCCTCCAACACAAGCAGAGCTGGCCCAGGAGATGTAAACACGGACGAAATTGGGAGACACATACTTGTAATTTCTGGGGATGGCAACTGAAGTAAAGAAACA